GTGTGTGCGTGTGTGTGCGTGTGTGTGTGTGTGCGTGTGTGTGTGTGAGTGTGTGTGTGTCTCTATTCCACCTCTAATCTATTCCAAATTTTTGTTCGGTTCATAATGACATCTGTTGTGTTTCATGTCGACTGCGAGCCGGTGAGTCATTGTGATGCTCAACACAGAAACACATGCTTCAGATCGAGTGTGTGTGAGTGAAACCTTCCCTACAGTGTGTGAAAGGCTTCGGTGCACTTCAGATCATGAGAAATTCACACACGTTTGTTTTTCTGTCATCTGTTGTTTTTGTACTGCGTTTGCTGGCAGCGCAGGCTATAATAATGGGCATAAAGTCAAACATATACAGTTGTGTTTGTGATTTAGTGTTGTAATGTTCAGCATGTGCCCTCTCAGTGGTGCTGATGTATCAGTGAGAGTCTCTCCTGCGGAGCCGGTCGCGTCCAACTCTGTGGCAAGAAAGAGCGTGAGAGCGAGACGCAGTGCTAACAAGCCTTCCCTCACATCCATCACATTTACAGCAGCGCTTCACACAAAGTGCTGCTTTTCTCTTTCACGTGTCACTCCAAACCTGTGAGTTTCCTTCTTCTGTGAAACTTAAAAGGAGATATTTAGCTGAATGTTCAAGCTGCTCATTTCCATACAACAGTAGATTATAGTGATCAAATCCATCAAGCTCCAAAAAATACAAAAAACACTTTAAAAATGATCAGAATTTCAGTCTGTTTCTCACTCAAAGCATCATATGACTTCAGAAGTCATGTGGCTACGTTTATGGTGTGGGGGTGCGTACACTTTTTATTAATACTGTTAATTATTTAAAATAGTTTGTGTTCATTGAAAAGTAGCTGAAAAACATACATACAGGTGCATCTCAATAAATTAGAATGTCATGGAAAAGTTCATTTATTTCAGTAATTCAACTCAAAATGTATTAAATAAATTCAATGCACACAGACTGAAGTAGTTTAAGTCTTTGGTTCTTTTAATTGTGATGATTTTGGCTCACATTGAACAAAAACCCACCAATTCACTATCAAACTAAACATTGAAAATGTTACTAGTTACTGTGCTTTTTTTCTATGCGTTTGTTTTGAGCAATTTTTGTTTGCCAGAATGTTCTGAGAAAGATTTTGGTTCCCACAATACATTTTTAAGTTTTATATTAAAAGTGTAACATTTATAAATAAAAGTTATTTTATAATTGTACATTTAAAACGTAAAAATAACCTTTAAGAAACATTCAGTTTTTTAATCGTTGTGAATATAAAACCTATTCTGAGAATTGTTATAATAATAACTGTTCTGAGAATGTTAGATTTTGGTTCACAGAACATACGATGTTACTCACTGAACATTGTGAGTAACACAAACAACAATTACAACAGTAAAAACAAACGTGTGTTAAAATATTAGAAGGCTAAATAACACAATTTAAAAGGCTTAAAATTATTAAGCACTGGAGAAGCTCCAATATCATTGGGTATAGATTTTGGGTAGACTTTTCAATTATTCTGTACGAATGAACCATAAAAGGCTTTTTTTACACACGTTTAGCATGCTGTAATGTGGTGGAGATGCTGGGGTTTGGCGGAGGGGAGGCAGATAATGATGATAATATCTGAACAGGGTCAGAGGGCAAAGGTCAGAGATCACATGACTCAGACACAGCTGGAGTCTGACGCATCTGAGGAGGAAATGTGTCTTGATTTCCTTGTGTTCATGTGTGTGTGTGTGTGTGTGTGTGTGTGTGTCTGTGTCTGTGTGTGTGTATGTGTATGTGTGTGTGTGTGAGAGTGTGTGTGTGCGTGCGTGCGTGCGTGCGTGCGTGCGTGCG